AAATTCATCAGCTCAATCTCCTTCATCAGAGTGCTTGTCACTGTGGAAGACCGTGAGAGTTGAAGAAACCCCAAGGAGAAAGTGTAACCCTTCTAATGCCTGGGAACAGAGACCAAGCAAACTGCACACAGGGTAAAGGAAGAGCACACAAGCCCAGAGTGCCTCCAGCAGGAGTTAGCTGGGCAGGTACAGCATTGCACTAGTGTGCACCAATGCTTGTTGTGCAGCCTGACTGGACACAGAAATAGCCCACGAGTGTCTGGGGTCAGTCACACCATGAACAACCAGTTGGACACACATTATGAAGTTCCTTTGCCACAAACCAGCAAGATTTCAGCAGCTCTTGCCTCAAGAGATCCAGCTTCCTAAATCCCTGGTAAAGCTATGCTAGAAATAGAACCAAAGGTGTTTATATGCCATGGAAGCTTTCCTCTTGAGGGGTAGGGAGATTTTAGGACAGCACAACCTCAGTGTTGACACAACTCCAGGCAAGAGTGTTCTCTACCGCTCAAAAGCTGACTGGGTGTTGTTCATTATAAACATTTCACCCTTGAAAAGGGAAAACAGATTTGAGCAACACCTTGTTGTTGCAATGTCAGATGCACAAGACCTACAAATGCAGGCTGGAATATTCCTGCTCTTTAGTCCTCTGTGCACTCCCTCACTAGGGAACACAGGGACATAGACAAGAGAGCTCATCAGACTAGATCAGTAAATACTGACAGCCTAGTTTCATAAGCAGCAGATTTATATTACGTTATGTTTTATAAACCACAGATTCAATAGAGACAAAACTGCCAACCCAAAGCAGCTGGGCCAAAAGCAGCATCGGCTTCCACCATGCCATTCCCTGTCAGAGAACACCAACCAGCTCACACCCATCTGCAGAAGCTGTACCCTGATTCTAAAGGCGTAGAGAGGCCTCCCCACTAGCTCCCCAACCAGCTAATTCATAAAGGCAAGCCCATGCCAGGAAGGACAGAAAAGCAGACTGAAGTTCTCAGTGCTTCATAGAGCCCAACACATGATGAACTATTATGACCCTGCTCCTCATATCCCTTCTGCAAGGATGAGCTAAAGGGAGAAAGACCCACTCTCAGGCATTTCCAACGTCAGAAAACCAAGCCTATGCTGGAACCCAACATTCGGTCTATGTGCAAGATCAGTAATTACCACGTGTTTGAAACCATTCATCTTAAGTTGTCTAGACTAGCAAAGCTCTAGGGTAAGGAAAGAATATTTACTGGAGAGGAAGGGAGTATTACAGAAGAGGAAGGTTTTCTCCATGAAGATCCTTCCTACATAGTTTCTGAGCCACCCAGAAGGTACTGAACTGTAGATGACAGCTGCCACCACTGTCCCTGTCCATAGGAACAAACCAAAGCCTCAGCTACAAGACCAAGCCTCAGCTCACAAAACTATCAGACTTCCAACTGAAAAGTCACCTACTGTTGTTCTCCACCACCTTTGTTTCCCTTTGCTGGTGCTTTCAAAAGCCTTGCCAAAATTCCCACCCAACCTTGTGCTTTTTCCGAGGCGTGACCTTTCTGGCATCTCCTCTATTCCTTGCTCTTCACCCATGTACCACCATACAGCATTCCCTCTGCATGGCAAGCCTTCCTGCCAGGAGCAGCAGTGAGCTGGGACTTGGCACCACATTCACTGGGACTCCAATGTAATTTTTACCTCCCCCTTCCAGCTCCTGAATGGATGCCAAAGGGAATGCTCTTTTTGGCAGTTCAAGCCTCCCAGATGAAGAGTTACAGCCAAAGTGCTGGGGGTGGGACCAAGGCAGCCTATTAAAAGGTTGATTATAATATGAATTTGGGGAGCTATTTCCAAATGTGCTTACCCTCCTGGACCTAGGGCCCTCGGGGGTGGAGTGGAATACCTAACTCAGCATTTTCAGCTTCTTTACTGGGTTTGGAGCCAGGGAGGGTGGAAAATCCTGTCTGCACTCTGCATGGAAAAAAACATGGGTTTCCAGAAGGGTGGTGGAGCTATTGTTTTCTTCCCTTCTCCCCTAGAAAGCCTGTGGTGCTCATACTTACATAGCTCTCTCTGCCTCATTGAAAAGACCTAGAATTTGAAAGCTTCTACCTTGATTAAAAGGGTCAAGATCAGCAGTTTTCCTGTGGAAAATCCAGAGCTACTCCAAAAAGCAACACTGACAAGATAAGATGCCACAAGACCCTTCTCACCACCAGGTTCCCTGGAGCACACTGGACTGCTGAGGAAGATGAACTCTGTAAGACAGCCAGGGAGGAAAACTTGAGGGCATCTGGGAGCATAAAGGGGACAAAAGGCTGGACTGAGGCTGTGGTTTCAGGAGGCAGTCAGATTGCTATACCTGTTAAAGCATGCCTCCTCCTGCCAGGTGGCAGCCCACAAACCTGACCCCTTTAAAAGAGCCAAAATGCAGCCCCTTGTGACCTGCACTGCCATGTCACTGACAAGCAGATCAATACCTTTATAGAAACATGGCGATATTATACTGCAAAGATGTTCCAAAGTTCCCTAAATCCCCAAGTAACTCTTGCTTGTAGCAAGGCAGAGACAGAGAATGAATTGTCCCTTTGTGAGGAGACATTTTGCTATTGATCAGACCTACAGTTTTACCTTTACATTAGTAAAGATGCAAAGGCTTCAGAACACGTGTCAATGTACTTTATCCTCATCTGTGAGAAGCTAAAGGCAAAACCAACACCAGTTTACCATTACTAGACCCACTTGACAAGACTCTCCTGTAGCACAAGACACTGAAGCATCTACATGCTGCATGGTGTGGACTCAATATGCTGATTAAAATTGCAACCAGCTTGCCAACAAATAAGAAGTTATTAATTCTCACATGTCTGATTCCACCCTAGATCTTACAACTCTTCACTGCCCTCACATCACCCAAGGCGTTCCCAAACCTTGCTGCAAAGAGAAGTAGGGAGAACACTGTTTCTAACACACATGCTATTAAATATGTTTCTAACACACATGCTACTAAATATGTTTCTAACACACATGCTACTAAATATTTAAGCCCTTATTCTCAAGCAAATTCTTTGCCTCCAATGGCAAGCCAGGCATGCAGATGCATCATAGCATCTTCATTCCTCTGAACACAAACCCACAATCTACCACCAAGCAACCAGCAAATTCTCTCAAAGCAAACCTGCAGTGTTGTGTATACACAGATACATATATATATGTGTACATATATATGTATACATGTACTGAACTTCCTGTCCAGAATTCACTTACGAGAGAACTGTCCTGGCACACCTCAAGGCACAAAGCTGTGGCCCAGGGGAAGAACTCTGGTAGTTATCTCCCCATGTCTTAAAGGTTATGCTGGAAGTGTCACTTAATCACAGAGGAATTTTATATTCAAGTTTAATAGGTCAAAGGTTTCACAAGAAAACCAAGAGAGATCAGTTCATTATTTTAAACCCTGAAGGTGACCTTTCATTAAGTCAATGGGAACACTTCCATTACAGAAGAGGAACTCTTCTTCGTACTATACAGAGAAGGAAAACACAGCAGTGTCCACACCTAGTTCACCCAAAAGGCTTTGAGCTCTTCCATTAAGCCAGAAACAACACCCAGGACTCAGCCCCCAGCCTTGAGCTTCAACCACTAAATCTGCTTCAAAGCAATTCCATTGCTAAGCTAATAGCTGCAGGAGACCATTCCTACATCCCATTAAACCAGCAGACACTAATCTCTCCATCTGCAACAGATACACATGCCGTAGGGGTCTGGACAGGATAAACAGAACAGATGTTTAAGTGCACATGCAGTCTGGGTTATCACCTTCAGTGCTCAGCTGCACAGGAACCAAGAGATTTCTAGACACAGGAACTAAGGAGATTGAGACATCTGTCCTTTCTTGTAGCTTAGCTGAGGGAAGCATTAACCCCAGCAGGAAGGTAGAAGCAAGTATGTATCATACCTACACACATTGCACAGTTCCCAAAGATTCCCAGATACATCCAACCCAGCAAACCAATCTATGGCAAAAAGAGCATCACAATACAAAACCAAACCAGAAGCAAAGAGCTGCCAAAAAAAGGCACCAATCTATGTCCCAGTACTCATTAAAAGCATTATTCCTAAATGCCTGAACTGTTGGGAGATCTTGGCTGCTACTTCCCTCAAGCCAACACAAAACTGAAGAGCTTAGGAAAAAGCAGAGAGCCTCTACTCACTGGAAGCAGCTTTGAGATGCCACAGTGTGGCTAAGTCCTTGAAGGCAGCCTGTCACAGCAACAGGCTTCAGAGTGCAAACACCTGAACACAAGCATTTCAACAGGCTGCAAAAGGCAACTGTGTGCAAAAGGCACACACAGGATCTGAATAACAGTGCTTGATCCAACCCAAAGGATGCTTATTCTAGTCTGGCCTAGTGGAAGGTGTCCCTGTCCATGGCAGGGGGTTGGAACCAGATGAGCTTTAAGGTCCCTTCCAACCCAAACCATTCTATAAAGCCACTCTTGGATGCACAGGGCAGTGAGGGCAAGTGGATGTTTTCACCAGCATGTTAGGTTGCTGAATGCTTTCTCACACAGGGCCACTTCTTCCTTCAGCCCCACCACATGGGCTGGCCTGCTGTCAGGCTGCTAGAGGAGTGATGCTCTGCATGGCCTGAAGGGCTGCTCTCAAAGCAGTGCCAGGCCTGTACAGTCAAAGAGGTACACAAGGAGGCCTCTCCCCTCCAATAAGGGGACAGGCCAAGAAGCCCAGAGGAGGAACTTAAAGATCTCACCAGGCTTAGTCCATTGACCAGCCTAAAGTTGTGTTGACAGCTCTTTTACAGATACACACAGGACTCCTGAAGCAGGAACAGCCCCTCCTGTACTCACAAAGGGGAAGAGAGGTTCAGTTTGGTCTCCTCTGGGGTAAGATTCAGAAACCAGTGATATCACACGTTCACAAGCAATTCATGCTTCACGCTACAGCACAGCCACACTTAAACACACATCTGGACTTGAAGGGCTTGTACCTACCTCAAGTGCCCCAAGCTGTAGTATCGTGACTCTCCATCCGTTGATCGAACCACCTTGACAGTGAACATGGGCTGCAGCTGCCGTAGCTCCAGCAGCACAATGGCCAGGTAGTGAATGAAGAGCAGAGCATCCACCAGCGACACGGCGTACTGCACTATGCCCTGGTAGTTGGTGTCCTTCGAGTCCAAGATGCGAACGCCATAAAAGAGCCAGTAGGAAAAGACAAACAGGAAGATGAGGACCAACAGAAGGGCCCGAAACACAAACACCCTGGGGATATCTGCCTTGGGCTGGCGGAAGAACAGAGCCCAGGTCCCAATCAGAAGAATGAGGAGTTTAAACGCCACAGAGATGAACAGTCCCTCACAGACAGTACCACACGGCTCCAGATCATCCCGCCACAGGAGCTGGGGTAACAGAATGAAGGCGATGGGGGTAAGGAAGACAAGGAGTCCGAGAACAGCTGCCACTGTTAAGCCCAGGTAACGTTTGCAGTCCAACCCAACGCTGTCATCCAGATCCTTACTGATCCGGGCAATGTCCTCCTGGGAAATACTGTGCTCAGAGGTGCCTGTGATTGCTGTCGTGGTCTCACCCCAGTTGTCATCCTGAGGGAGGAAGAGAGAAACAAAAATAGCACTGAAACAAGAAGGTTATTCCATCCAGAGAGTAGGAATTTTTCTTGCCTGGAAAAAAGTTGCTGCAACAGACTTGATTCCCAGAAAAATACAGCAAAAGCAACACCTTCAACATACTGAATAATCAACCCTGAAAATTAGCAAAGCTTTGGAAACAACAGCAACTTGTCCAACGCAGTGACTATAGACATTAGGTGTTTAAAAACCTGGAAGTGTAGAGCAGGTAGCTCGGCTTGCTATGCCACTCACCATACCCCAGAGGTTCCTCTTCCAACACACTTAACAAGTAATATCACATAACTCTTGGAAACTGCAGTAATCATCAGTTCCCATGTGCAGGGCAAGGACTAGTACTATTCCAGCCCACAGATTCCATGGTGCAAGTACACCACAGAAGCACCTGGAAGGGAAATCTTCATTTTAGTTGTTGTTGTTGCACAATCAAAGACATGTTCACACATTATTTTCCCATCCATTACAGAAGCAAGTTCCTCTACTTTGTTTTCATTTGCTCTCCTCTATGTTGTGCTGCCCTCAATAGCTGCCATTCTAATAGAAGTTGAATTAAACGAACAAATAGTGGTCACAGAGGATATTTTCAGGTATGGGGCTTTAAGTTTAGAAGATCCTAGACTACCAATGGTATTAGTGTCCATTACACTGTCAGAGGCCCCTCAGCCACAAAGCAGCTTACCTGAAATGCAATCAGCATATAGTCAAGCTTCAGATTACATTATGTTTTCCAAAAGTCTCATTTCTTCCCTAGCTAATACCAGAGCCAGTTTTCCCATCCTACAATGCCTCCAATTGCTCCTTCCTGGTGCTGGCACAGCCAAAGAGTTATGCTGACATGTATGGATTTGACTCAGAGCTGCTGCTGGAGTGACTCACAAACATGAAGTCTCCTGATGCTTCCCACAAACACACACCAAACAGCAGCAATACATGCACTTTGCTGCTTGGCACCTTTGTAGCTGCAACACTCATTCAGAAGCACATGTTTTGCTCTTTCTCCCACCCTTCCGAGTATATCTTCCTGCAGCCTGTGTTGTTAATAGGATTTACACCTTCCCCAGACTTCTGCAGCTACACGTGCTGATGGAAGCATTTTGTTTTAAAGAGGCATCATTTTAAACGTTTACTCACTTCTTTGAAGGAGTTAGAGGAAAGAGTCTTCAAGTATCTTTGGGAAGGGAGTAGACAGAGGCAGCACAACTACTTTGAACAACTCCAGGGATTTAACTTCCAATGCACTCCAAGACATGAATACCTCCCATGCCTAGAGCAGTACGGTTTTCAGACAGACCAACCACAAACAGTCAGCATCTTGAATTAATATGAGGGGGTTTTTTTTGAGTCCCTTCTCACCAAAACAGAGGCCCCAGAAGAGATAGCTGCATTGTAGTATGTCCTGAAAGGCAGCATATTCCTATCACATTTCCCTTTTTGCCAGTGTCTCCAGTAAAGCAGTCTAAGCATTTCAACTGTCTTATGTTTATGCATGAAATAGCTCTGTATAGTTTCCTCCATTTGATGAGCTGAGAAACTGTGCAGAAGAGAGAAGGGGCAGAAAAACCACAGCAGCTTAAGGCTACAGCCCAGAAGACAACAAGAACCCTAGTTGCAGGCCACCCCTTAGAACAGCTCTTCCCACTTGAAGTGTCAAAAGCACAACAAATATGCAGTTATATGGAGATACGAGTCTAAATCTGTAGTGGGTCAAAGTCACTGGACCCAACCCAGGGCAGCCTGCTCCTTAGGAGAAAAGTCTTGCTCATGCATCAACTTACTTTGCTTTGGCTTTAATTCACACTGAGGAGGTCTGCATGAAAACTAGGGCTTAAGAACTCACCAGTGCCTTTAGATCTATTTGAATAACTGGGATTTATGAAAACAACCATCTGATTACAGATAAATGGCAGTAGATGAAGTGAGCCCACCTGAGCTACATGAATACTGTTACAAGTACTACCACAGACAGTTTGGAAACTGGGCATCAGTTATTTTGGGTGGTTTTGAAAGGGCAGAAGTGGAGCTTCACAGCCAAGTTTTACACAACCCAAATCCAGCCCAGGAGGCATTGAAACACCCTGCATTCTATGCAATCCTCTGAAAATGAATACACACCTTCACATCAATTGCTAGAGCAGCAAGAATACTGGATCCATCCCAGGTGCAATCCAAACCTAGCATTATTCCATTCTTTATTTAATCCAGTGTTAACGTACTATCTTACACTGACTTCACCCTCCTTCACAGCTATTTTGTATTAGTTTTACATTTCTTGCCTTCTTAACCTGGTCGTAACATGCTTTACATGATTACCTACAGCAAACCCTGCATCCAGGTAAAAAGGTTGACCCGAATAATGCACAGTGAGATGATGGAAACAGGTATTTCTATAGAGCTTTCAGATGACACCCTGGAGACAGCAGCAAATTGGTGCCGCAGGAATAGTTGTAACAGCTCTGGTGCTGTCAAAAATAATGCTCTCAGAAAAGAGATCGAGACCATGGCTTTAAGCATTAATCAAGGGCACCCATAAGTAGTGATTTACTAACAGCGTGCAAGCCACACTTTTCCTACCCATGTGCCAGTAAGTCACATGCTCTGTTCCAGAAGCCACACTCTACATTTGAGTTCACTCCCTCCTTACCTGGCCCTCCTCTGCCCGAGAGGCGTCATTCCCAAGCAGTGGCTCTGCAGGAGGTGTCTGGATGGTGACAGACTTCTCGGAGCGACTCCCATCTTTGCTTCGTGGTGATTTGTGCCTGTCCCGGCTCCTTTTCCAAACACAGCAAGAGGAGAACAACGTTACCATGTAGGTTCTGGAGCAGGGCATGGAGCCTGCTGCACCTCTGTGGGCAGCAGGTGACTTAAGGATGTGGTTGTAGTCATGCTCACCCACAGAATCACAGAATGGTTTGGGTTGGAAAGGGACCTTCAAAGCTCATCTAGTCCAACCCCCCCGCAATAAGCAGGGACACCTTCAACTAGATCAGGATGCCCAGAACCACATCCAGCCCGGCCTTGGATGTCTCCAGGGATGGTTCATCCACCACCATCTCTTTGGGTAGCCTGTGCCAGTGTTTTACCACCCTCAGTGTAAAGAATTTTTTCCTCACATCCAGCCTGAATCTCCTCTCTTTTAGCTTTAAACCATCACCCCTCATCCTCTTGCAACAGGCCCTGCTAAAAAGTCTCTCCCTATCTCTCTTATAGGTCCTTTTAAGAACTGAAAGGCTGCAAAGTCTCCCCATAGCCTTCTCTTCTCCAGGATGAACAACCCCAACTCTCTCAGCCTTTCCTCATAGGAAAGGTATTCCATCACTGTGGTCATTTTTGCAGCCCTCCTCTGGACCCTCTCCAACAGATCCATGTCTTTCTCCTGTACTGAAGACTCCAGAGCTTGATGCTTTACTCCAGGTGGGGGTCTCTTGACCAATATTGTCTGAATCTGTGACAAAACAAGCTTTGGAAGAGGTAGAAAGGAACCCTGCCTAGAACAGCCCACAGCCTGGAACAGTCTACCCTCTCTGTGACTGGAGAGGGAAGCAAAGCAGACAGAGTACATCCCCATCACCTCATCTTCTCTTAAAACAGCCTCCACTCTTGCTGTGCTTGAAAGGGAAGACTGCATTCTCCAAGCAACTCCATTTGGGATTAACTGCTCTGCACAGCTCTCCATCTGCAATAAAGTGTTGTCTCACAGGGATGTATATACAATTAATACAAGGAACTAATCAAGACAGCTTTAGCTCCTGCAACATAGAATCTTGTCAACTAGGAACTTGGCACTGGAGGACAACTGGTGAAGTTTATTTCCACTGGTTAATAACCCCCAGTTAACCTCTTCCAAAGCAAGAACATTCAAGAGTACCAGAGTACACCTCTAGACCACATGGCTTCTTGTCTGAGATTGGTGGGGTTTAACACATCTTGACACAACCTGCCCACCAGTATTTTCCTCTAGTTTTTTATGTTGTATCTTTCCACATGGCATTCTAAGCTTCGAAGGGCAACCCATGTTGGGGGTGGGGGTGTTAAAGAAGGGAAAAAAAGGCAAACAAGAGATGTTTTACTCAATAACTGGGTTGCAAGCAGAGACTTCATTTCATGGAAGAATTCTTTTTCCAACCACACAAGATAATTGCCTCTGAAATGCAGAGTTCCCCTTTGTACCAGCTCAGTTCTAAGTTGCAAAGTGGCACACATTTTACATATAAAACTAATGATGATGCAAGAGGAAGAAAAAAAAAAAAAAAAAAAGCGATGATGCAAGAGGAAGAAAAATAAAAAAGGAGTAATGTTTCCAAGGAATCAGAAGTTTCAGAGCAAGATGCTTTTGAGGCTGCTGAACTACCACAGAGAAGACTTGCTATTCAAGTTTACAAAAGCCTGACTTCTAATCCAATCAGTGCTGACAAACCACTTGTTGTGGGCTCAAGTACCACTCAAATTCTATTAAAACACCCCAACATACCAGCACAGAGTAGCCAGGAGGGCTCTGGAGAGAGATAGGAAACCTTATTACACAAGAAAGAAATGGCATCAGGAGAGTAAACAACTGGCAGTTATCAGTTTACAAAGTCTGACATGTCTTCTCCCCAGAGACTCCTCATCCCTCACACTTTGCAGGGTTAAGTGATCTTTTCCTTCTGCTGGTGCTATCCCAACCTTTCTGGCCATACATGACCCCAGCATGCATTCAATCAATTGATCATCAGTAAATCAGCAGCATTATTGCTTCCAGTCTCCCCACTGGATTCCTTGTGAGAACTCTCCACACATATCTCCACTGGAACTGTGGCCCAACTGATTTCATCCTGGCTTACAATTTTTCCATGGGACATGTCCTAGCTTAAAGCAGTGAGTAATTACACATAAACATTTCCTTACCCTTGTCTGTGGGCTTTTTTGGAGTGACCTGAGTAGTGGGAGTATCCCGAATATGTGGATTCTGTATCCATTGCAGCAGACATGGGGTCTACGCAAAGGGGCACAGATTCTTCCTTAGAAGATGAGTTCCTGCTGCTCCTGAGGTGGAGTCTGTGGTAAAAGTGCTTTCCTGGGTGCTCTTGGCTTCCCAGTCATCAGTAAGGTCTGGTCCTCAGAGAGCGAGCAAGCTTCACTTACAAGGAATCCAATCGGAAGGGATGGGAGGGAGGGTGCTTGGCTCCTCACGATCGACCTAAGGGAAACAGGCATGAAAATGCACTCTAAGCAAAGCAAGACATCATTCCTCCTGCATCAATTCCCTCACCCTGGCCACACGTCACCACTCATCACACTGTGCCCAGTTCACAAGCTTGTCCTGACTGATCATAGACTGGTTAGGGTTGGAAAGGACCTTAAGATCATCTAGTTCCAACCCCCCTGCTATCTCTCTTTCCAGCCTAGTGAAATATATGCATTTGTAGAGCTTGAAATAAACTGATAACTAACTCTGTTTTGCAAAGTCTAGCCTTTTTATCTAAAAACCCAGAAGAAACAGCATAATCACCTGGAAAAGTGACTTGGAGGAGACCCAGCAGTCTACACACAGAAATTCAACCCCAGGAAAAGCACAGGGCTCGACTTCCATACTCCCATCTCTTCACTTGTGTAACACACAGCCCAAATACCCCCAGATTCAGAACGGCAGCATTACAGCCTATATACAGGGGGAAAGCATGAGGGGTGAGGGTGACTTTCCTAGGAGAAATGCAGGAAAGAATCAGACCACCATGCCTGGACCTGCTTTGTTTTCACATCTGCAAGGTGTGCCCATTTTTTTGCAAGCATACAATCAATGGTATTATGAGCACCTCCCTTTCTTTGCAACCTTTGCCTCCAGAAGCTAATTTGGGCCCTGAAGAATTGAATTTTATTAGGAATTGTATCTATATATACACATACTAAGAACACTGGGGAGAGTTGATTAGAGATCACATCTAGCTTATATGGGCCAACACTTCTTACATCGTAGTTCCATTTGGAACAGAAGCTTATGTCCCATCCGTAAAGGGCAGAAGAGGGTCATGTTTTTTGGAACAGGAGCAGAGCAACATCAGAACAATTCCCAACAGTGACATGTCAAAATCTCTGAACTTTGTAGGGAAGAAAGGTAGACACCATCCTGCTTTCCAAACCCACATCCTGCGTTAGGCGAGAAGAGAAATGGAAAGGGAGTTAGTCACTGCTTTGGGGAAAAACATGCAAATGGTGAAGAGGGAGGGGTGGCAGCTAGGGACTGAGGTACCGTGGCACAGCCCGGTGTTTGGCACACAGGAGCACTCTCACATGCCTCCTGCCCAGCCAACACAGGACTGCAGCCATGTCACACTCAGAGCAGGCAAAAGACTGCTTCAAAATCAAACTAGATCCCTCCATTGTTTTCAGCTCACAGCAGTTTTCAGAGCTGTTAGCAACAGAACAGTCAAACACCGCTTTCAGCCCCCTCCCTCCCCAAGTGCAGAGAGACAACAACGGAATTCAGGCTTTATACTTGGCCGACTATTCTTTCCAGCCATAGATTCCTCCACTAACACCTCCAGAAAAGCTTGTAACTCAGCAAGCCGTGCCAAGGAACGAAGCCTCTTCCCCACAGGGTTCCTTGGCTGGCAGTGCAGTCAGTCTGCAACCAAGTAAAGAAGTGTTCATGCTGCATCAGGAGCTGCAGGTATTTGCACAACACTTGGGCTTGCCAGGGCTTTTGGAAAGGAGAAGGCAGGAGGGACCTTCCACATACAGGAATTCCCAGGCTCTAAATACATATCTTGCCTCAAGAAAGCTCCTTAAAGGCAGCAGAGAATATAGGACAAATAAGGACAGGAACATAAAGACTGGTTTTGGGGAAAGGGAGAATGAGGGTGGGTTTAAACACAGCAAGACAAAAAGCCAAGGTACGGCACAGTTTGGAAAATGGCATCATTCCTTTAACAGGAATAAACCTTCCCCAGCCTGGGACACATGATGTTAACACTTGTTAACTCCCTGGACTTGCACACAGCCTGAAGCTTGTGGCTCCAGCAATAGGCTGGGACTCACTAAAGCTGATTTTTACCTCTGTCCTGCTAAGCAGCCACAGAAATACCCTTCCTCTGTGTCTGTCCTTCTCCAGTGTCCCCCTTTGAATGGGGGTAAGGCCACCCCCCATTCAAAAAGCACTGATACCACCAGAGGAGATGGCCACACAGAACCTCACCATCATTAGATATTACAAACCAGAAACACCCTCAGCTGTATAAAAGGTGGTAACAAGTATTATAGGCTTAAACCACTGACTGTGATGTTACTGGAGTCCCTTTGAGAACAAACCACTGTCTTCACAAGTACGTACCACCACATTACAGGAACAGGAAAAGCAAGGATTGCTGCCAGCATACATACATCAGGAAGGGTTATGTATTTTTCCTGGGCTTCTAGGAAAGTACCGACTCTCAGCCTTCTCCTCTAACCACATAAAAGAATTTCTCACCAGCTCTCAGATAGAAGACTCAGAGCTGAGAGACAGGGAGTGGGTACAGAGCTCCTCTTCTGACCCCTCTAACCAGCACAGGGTCAGCAGGTAGATGCTCCTGTGGAAATGCTGCCTACATAGGACAAGCAGTGACCATTTGATGGTGGATGAAGCCAGGCAGTGCTGGGCACCAGGCAGAGAGAGCCAACTCCAGCACTGGAAGATCAGGGCAGGCTGGATCATGCCAACTTTCTTTTTCTGTGTAAACAAGAGCAACGGTTTTGACACAGCTCTGTGAAAAGTCAACACAGCAGCCCCCAAAAACCTTGAGTCTCCTGTATTGTTGCACCACCACCTTGCCCCAGCTGGAAGACACCACAGATCTTCCTGCCAAGGCAGTTACAGGGCTGCTGGCAATAAAATACCTCTGGCCAGCTTCAGGTAGATACAGCAGAAGACCACTCATTGGCTTTGTCTGGTGCCTAACTGAGGCTGATTGTCAATAAGGCTTCCTAGAACTGGGCAGCAAAGGATATTATGGGCTAGACACCTCTCCCAGTCTGAGTAGAATGAGATGAAGAAACCAAAGAGGGAGGAGCACAGCCCAAAGACACACTCCTCATAGCCAAGCCAAGCAGATTACCTACCTCCTGGTCTGTTTTCCAGCAGGAAGGGGACTAGCCTTACCTCAGAAAAGCTTCTGGAACTGCTAGGGAAGAGGTAGGGAGGAGACTAAGAGACAGCTAACATGCTAAACTACATCTGACTTGGAGTTCTTTCAATGGCATAGACAAAAGTCAACACTGGATTGGCCACCACCCCAACAGTGCCCACCACTGGAGCCTGAGCAAAGCTAGAGAAGTCAAGCCATATGGATATGGTGCTGTTATGAAGGATACACAAACTAAGCACAGTCTTTAAACGCCTCCAATATTAAATCACTATTAGTGATAATTCTTACTCTACCCCTCTAAGGCAAGGGCAACCATGCTGCATAAAGAAACAGCCCCATCATTTGTGTCCTCATTCCTCCACAAACAAGTGTGAATTGTGAATTCAATTTAGCCAATTGAAACGCTTCACAAAAGATCATTCCATCTCTCAGGACATCACTTGAAGGCACAGTCTGTTTGCAGAGCTTCTGGCCCTGTGTGAAAGGAAGCTCCTTGAGCCCGAGGGTGCAGTTGCACCGTATTGCAGCACTGGTGTAAGTAGCTTCCACCTCCACAACACGGTTCACCACCCTCGGTTGTGTCAACACAATTCTCAGCAAGCAAACAGCACTGCAGGAAAACAGAACACAACAAAACATCCCTTTGCTCCCCCTCGCCACGCTTTTGTCTTGGAGCCTTTCCGTGACCTAGTTCACAGCACAGCCCCAAACAGCAAAACCAACCCCAGGGTGAAGAGCAGCGCAAGCAAACAGCCAGAGGGGAGGTGGGAATGCCTCCTCCACTCCAACCACCACCATTGTGTAACTGCACACCCAGCACTCTGCTCCCCATAGGGCTGGCACTCTCACTCTGCCTTTCCCTTACTCACCAGTGATGGAAGGATGCCAAGTGCTAAATGGAAAACAATGCTAAGGACTCCCCAGAGGAAACTTTGGGACCTTATTCTGGAAGAAGGATGGCTGCATCCTGCAAAGCAGTGGGGAAATGCCCCTCGATACCACAGAGATCACTGTAATTAGTTTCTGTGCAGCTCCTCATAACTCCCCCTTTTCATATGCTCATAAATCTCCAAAAAGAGTTCTTTTGAATCACTATTTTCCATGCTGGGAGCCCAGTCCCATTTCCAATGAAGTTCGCTTTGTGATCGTCTTCAAGGGAGCACAGTTTGGCTCCCAGCCCAAGGGAGATTTAAAAGAGCAAGTTACATCTTTAAATGAAAGAGGGCAAACGCAAACAAGTGCACTCTTTTACATCCCATGCTTTCCTAATGGCTTTTCCCTTGTGAAGTTGAGGCAAATAACTCCAAAGCAGCTCAGCTTTGAAATCTCTGCAGTTTCAATCTTACTCCGTTTAAACTCACAATCAATGAGAGCCCATTTACCAGTTGGCTCATGAAGTTACATTGGAAGTGCCATCTGGAGCACGAGCAGCCATAAGTGTCCGTGAGGATGTCCTCAGCTCCATATGCCATCAGCCTCGTTTCTTTCTTTAGTGAAAAGAAGAGCTTTACAAATTAAACATGCAGAACCCCACAGGCTAAGCTATGGGATAGAATCGTATAACCAACTTGGTTGGAAAAGACCTTTAAGACCATCAGGTTCAACCATTGTCCAGCACTAACCCCTGGCACTGAGGCCTCGGCTACACGGGGTGTGAACACTTGCAGGGACGGTGACTCCAGCACTGCCCTGGGCAGCCTGTTCCAATGCCTGAGCACCCTTTGGGGAAGGAATTGTTCCTCAGCTCCATCTAAACCTGCCCTGGTTCAGCTTGAGGCCATTTCCTCTTGTCCCATCCCCTGTCCCTTGGGAGCAGAGACCAGCCCCCTCCTGGCTCCATCCTCCTATCAGGCAGTTGTAGAGAGCGATAAGGTCCCCCCTTGAGCCTTCTCTTCTCCAGACTAAACCCCCCAGGTCCCTCAGCCCTTCCTCATCACACTTGTGCTCCAGGCCCTGCACCAGCTCCGGAGCCGGCACTTTGCCTTGTTGAACCTCATACTATTAAATAGCATTAAGGTCCAAGAGTAAAACCAATTAAAGAATGGCTGAGCAGTGAGGAAACCTTCCAACTCTGGCATT